TAAAGGGGTCATATGACGTTGCTAAAAAGAACATTATGTTGTGTATTTGGTGTAATGCAATGTGTTCTTGCAAAGTTGGAACTGCCCCAATTTATAGAACAGCCTTTGAGCACAGACCCATTGTATGCTACTCTGCAGGTTCAGGAAACAGTCTTCCATAAAATACGTCACACACGACGGGCTTGAGTGAACGGTGCGGCCGGCAGGCGTGCGGCAACCACATTTGACGACCCTGGGCTGGACTCCGCTTCGTCCATTGTGAAAGCCGATCCGGCGATCCACAGCACGAAGTTGATGTATTTCCTCAGCGACCAGCACGGATCAGCTCTAGGCATGACAGAGCGGATATCGTCCTCTTTTGGAAGGCCAAACAAAGTAGTTTCGCTTTCACAACTAAACACACAGTATCTCCACAACATGGCGCCGGCGGCAACAACAATACTACAGCAAGAATAAAAGTTACACCTTCTTTCTTTGCGTGAACATTTGGGCGGTGTTATGCAAATCTTCCCACACAGTGACGTAGACATGTGGGGGCGTGTTTAAGCGAGCCGTTTTAGGAGGGCGTGGACAAGTCTTAACTTTTATAAAGAATATCTCTTTGGATTTGAGACTTTAGTCTTTGCAACTTTACAGATCTACTTTATGCACCAAGAGCTTGTAACACTCCAAAGAGAAAGGAAAAATTGAAATCGCATCATATGACCCCTTTAAATTCAAATGGAGTCATTTTAAATGAGTTATTCCTTTGATGAGTTTTATTTTGTTAATGAAATGTTTAGAATATGTTGCTTTGAATATTTAGAGCTAAGTTACAATCCAATCTAATATTTCTGTCTTCAATCCTTTAATTAAATTGCATGTTTAATTCAAACTATATATATAACCTAATACTGGTGTATGCGTGTACTTTTATGCTTAAAGTATTGCATTGTTAGCTTAGCAAAATGTGCAAACTGTCACGACTCACACACTGGGAGCACAGGAACGAGCGAGGAGACGAGGAATAAAATAAATCAAAAGGGTTTTAATGAAAGCACTCTGGGGATCACAGGACGGGAGACGTCAGGCAAACAAAATGACACTTAACAGCAGACAGAGAACTGGGAACATAAATACACAGACACCAATGGGACACACTTGGGAGCAAATGAACTAATTAATCAAAACATAGCTGGAGACGAATACACACAATGAGGACAGGAACAGGAAGGACCAAATAAGGGCAGGGAAGGCACATCAGGTGCAAAACACACACAAAACACGGAACAGAGTCTGACATAACTCCCCCTCCCGGAAGGCACGTCCCGCACCGTACAATATCCAATGGGGAGGGGGGGTGGGTGCTCTGGAGGCCTCTAGGAGCAGGGTTACCGGACAGAAGGCCTCCAGGGCGGCGCCCGTTCCGGGATCCATGGTGGATCTGGCAGTTCGGTGTGCCGTGGTGGATCTGGCAGTTCGGGGAGCCATGGCGGATCAGGGGACTATGGCAAAGCAACCTCCGAGGCCGCGGCCCCAGCCTCCGCCTCCACGGCTGGAGCCCTTCTACCCCCCGCGCCCCAAAAAATACTTGTGGAAGATTTCGGGCTCCAAGGCCCTCCGTGGGCCATAACCGGGGAATGGAGCACTCCCTGGGCTCAGCGGGGAATCAGGAGCCCTCCATAGGCTATACTCGGGGGCAGGAGCCGACACTGAAGCGAGCTCCGGGGCTGGCAGGCTTGACTCAGGAGCAGCCTTGAGAATGTCGCGGCCGGCGGGCTTGACATCGGCGCGGCCGGCGGGCTGGAGAGAGCCGCGGCCGGCGAACTTGAATTTGGAGCTGCCGGCGGGCTTGTCTTCGGAGCGACCCAGTAGCCCCTCACTGCAGAACAAAGATCCAGGGGGCGGGGGTGGATCCACATCTAGGGGGGGGGGATGTTGGATCCACATCTAGGGGGTGGAGATGGGTGGGTTTAGGTATCAGGGGGTGGAGACGGGTAGGTTTAGGTATATGTAAGGTGGGAGGAGTTGGATCTGGATCCAACCTCGCCCCCTGGATCTTGTGTTCTGCAGTGAGGACCATCTTGAACTACGGGGAACAAACAGGATAAATAAAAGAAAACAAAAGGACTATTCAAAAACAAAAACAAAACAAAACACGGGAGAAGGAGCGCCGCTTACTGTTTCGGTCTGCTGTTCTGTTACGACTCACACACTGGGAGCACAGGAACGAGCGAGGAGACGAGGAATAAAGTAAATCAAAAGGGTTTTAATGAAGACACGCTGGGGATCACAGGATGGGAGACATCAGGCAAACAAAATGACACTTAACAGCAGACAGAGAACTGGGAACTGAAAACACTTTAAATACAGAGACACCAATGGGACACACCTGGGGGCAAATTAACTAATTAATCAAACAGAACTGGAGACGAATACACACAATGAGGACAGGAACCAGAAGGACCAAATAAGGGCAAGGAAGGCACATGAGGAGCAAAACACACACAAAACACGGACCAGAGTCTGACACAAACTCTATTGTAATTAGTTGTGAGTTGTCATCTATTGAGATTTAGTTGATGCCTTAGATAACAGCCTCCTCTGTATGCAGTAGACAACACAGCAGATCTAGTGACTGTGAGAGGATCAGTTTCTCAGGTGTGCAGAAACTGATGATAAAGTCTGAGCTCTGTTTTGACATTATTCTTTCCATTTTTTTTTTGTGCAGACAGGTGTGAAGGCAGATCTGTCTGAGACGTTTCTCTCCTTACCTCAGCATCACATTTTCTTTAACTGTCACATGCATACAAACCTCTGTGTATGTGTATATCTCTACATTTCTTTTGCTTTCCAACACACCTGGGAGCAAATTAACTAATTAATCAAAACATAGCTGGAGACGAATACACAAAATGAGGACAGGAACAGGAAGGACCAAATAAGGGCAAGGAAGGCACATGAGGAGCAAAACACACACAAAACACGGACCAGAGTCTGACACAAACTCTATTGTAATTAGTTGTGAGTTGTCATCTATTGAGATTTAGTTGATGCCTTAGATAACAGCCTCCTCTGTATGCAGTAGACAACACAGCAGATCTAGTGACTGTGAGAGGATCAGTTTCTCAGGTGTGCAGAAACTGATGATAAAGTCTGAGCTCTGTTTTGACATTATTCTTTCCATTTTTTTTTTGTGCAGACAGGTGTGAAGGCAGATCTGTCTGAGACGTTTCTCTCCTTACCTCAGCATCACATTTTCTTTAACTGTCACATGCATACAAACCTCTGTGTATGTGTATATCTCTACATTTCTTTTGCTTTCCAATGTTCTTTTTATTATCAATTATTAATCTTCAAGACATTCAATGTGTCTTGTAGATACATTTGACTGAATTCGATAAACACGACTGCCTCTTTGCTCCTTTGAGTGCATGTGTCATTTTTGAGTGACTGACATTTTTTGTCACTCTAGAGTCTCACAAGGGTGTATGAACCTCTTACGAGGTAATTTAGTATTTATGGTAAGTGTGGGTGCTCACGTTGTTACCAACATGTTTTAAGACACCTGGAGCACTGACACATCCTTGTTGTACTCAGTGGACTGACGTTGATGCTAGGAATAGAGCTTTCGCTCATTTTGCCACCGATCCAAGAGAAACAGAACATTCAGGCCCTTTTTGATATTCCAAGCCTTGGCAACCCACCCACAGGTTTTGTGAGGATAGAGTTCTTCCTGATGTCATACACACCAATGGACTATAACTCTGCTGACTGCCCTCAAATAAGAAAGAAGGAGGGAGGAAACATAAACTAGCATCAAATGAAACCTCCTATGTTCACCAAAAATACTGTATCAATAAAAACAGTATTGTTAAAGTAATTGTTCATATATATATAAATATATATATATATATATATATATATTTTTTTTATTATTTTTAAATTTTTTAATGTAATTTATTCCTGTGATACAACGCTAAATTTTCAGTAGCCTTTGCTGCAGTCTTTAGTGTCACATGATCCTTCAGAAATCATTCTAGTATGCGTATTTGGTGCCGAAGAAGCATTTCTTATTATTACCAGTGCAATGAAAATGGTTGTGCTGCTTAATATTAATATAAAACTTTTTTTCAGGATTCTTTGATGATTAGAAATTTCAAAAGAAATCTTTTGTAATATTATAAATGTCTTTACTGCCACTTGTGATCAATTTAAGGCATTCTTGCTAAATAAAAGTATTAATTTATTCAAAACAAAAAAAATTGGCAGCTTGTTTCCCAAGAAAATTTGATGGACATTACATATATGTACATTACATCATCGCTCTCTTTTTCACTAATGCTAATCACTAGTATTGATTTGACTGTGACGTAAAACCACTGACTCAGACTTCCTACTCATCACAGTAAATAACATTAAAACGGATATGGCTCCATCAGATGGAATGAATTTAGATTAGCTAATTGACATCGGAGACATACTATATTTCTTCTCTGAATTGGATGTTTTATAGTAATACACATATACATCACTTCCACCGTTGTGCTCACAATGAAGAGAACAACATTCTGTCTCATACTCCACTGGAACTGAACTAACACTCACATACACATTTATATAGACACAGAGACACACGCGCACACGCTCACATTCACACACGTACATGCGCAATGCATGCGGTCTTGTTCAGTTCGTGCAGTTGTCCTGCTTGTATGTGCCTAATTTAGGCTGCTTCCACACCCTGTTAACTTACAAAAACATCAGGCAAAAAACACAACAATGAACCAATGTCGAGAAATCAAGTATAAAAGGAAGAGAATAAATGAATTTTAACATCTGAATAAACAAAAGATAAAAGCATCTTTTAAAAAATAAACAGATCATTCAGTTAATTTACATCATCATCATCATCATCACATTACCAGGATTTTCTTTAATTTTATCGCATAATGGAGTATTATTAACAGTGAGTAGAGAAGAACAGCAATAGCAACATGACATTCGGTACTTCACAAAGTGGTGATCGATCAGGTTTCGAATGAAGCATGAAGAAAAAGCGGCATCGGGCATCTGAGACAGTCTTTGGGATCATTAATTGGCAGGGTTCAGCTGGCGCCTCACCCCTTAGAAGAAGCCCCACCCCAATGATATGACTTGTATATGACTGTGTTCAGTTGATTGACAGAGGACATTACTCGCGACAAGTCCACAGTTCAAATCCTGCCCACTCAACCATGAATTTCCGACGACAGTTCCTGGGCATCTGTCGGCATGGCAACCAACTGAGCTAGTCTTCAGACAGCGCGTGCCACTTAGCGATCTGTCGCCGCGGGTGGTCGCAGATCTCGCGCCAGTGCTCGCCAGCGGTGCCAGGGGAGGAGGTGCCCAGGAGGAGCCGGCCGATGACAGGTGTACGGGACGTTCTGTCAGAGTCCAGCAGGAGGAGCTCCACGCTGGTGTCTCGCAGGCCTTCTTCCGAGGGCAGGTCGAAAACGAAGAGCTCGTTAAAGACGGGGTTGGGGGCGCACTTTTTCACGTGCGTCTTCTTCTTACACACTCGCTTCTTCCCCTGGAACAGGTTCACCTTCACGTAAGGGTCTAAAAAAAGACGGGAGGACAGAAGAGAGTGAGACAGAAATCAATACTTCAGTCGATGCACAGGAAATGATACATTGAGCACTGGGAGATCACACCTCTGCTGGACAAAGTGTTTTGTAAATGGACGATACAGCTTTAAGAAATGTTAATCATGGTTATTATGGTTGACTAAAACTGAAACCATAAAAAACAACAGATTACTTGAAATTAAAGAAATGTAAACTAAAACAAAATATATTATTCATTTCAAAATGTCTCTCTTTTATTAAGTTTTACTTGACTTATTAAAATAAGCTACAACTGAAATAACAATTTATAAATAATTATATGTAGACAAAAAAAAATAATAAAAATGACAAAACACAACAAAATTACAAAAATAAAAATTTCAATATAAAATATAAAAATAAAAAAGGCAAAATAATAATAAAAACTTTAAGAGTACCTCAGTGATGCTAAAATAATATGGTACTAATAAAATGTTCTAGATCAGTGGTTCTCAATCAGGGGTCCTTAGCAAATTTTCAAGGAGTCCGTAGGATGATCTAATATTATTTAAATGTATATATTATTATTACTATAATTAATATTATTATTAATATTGATATATTAAAACAAGCTAAATTAATCAAAATGATACAATCAAAACATAAACTGCAATTATAATTATTTTTGTTTCCCTTCATAAGTATTGTTTTTCCAAAAAACAGTTTTTTTTACAGTTCTTGAAATGTCTTTAATCTCTCTCTCTCTGTCTCTCTCTCTCTCTCTCTATATATATATATACATATATATTAACCAAAGTGCTTCAGCTAATGACAGCTTCTATCTGACCCACACTCTAACCTCACCTGAGGGTCCGTTGGAGTCAGTCTTGGGCAGGTGGCGAGCTTTCAGTACCACCACAGTCAGAGTACTGGTGGTCGACTGATAACACAGGGACAGAAGTAGCTCTCCTCGACCAGCACTCCTCTAACGTTTCAGATAAAGAAGAAAGACATTTATTTATATGTATGTCTGGTCTGGACACAATCATCACAAAGCCCAAAACGTTTTCTTTTTTTTCTTTTATAATTTCGCGTTTGGGCAACTAACCCTAGGCAGGTAAGAGAAGACAACTTCTAAACGTTACGAGAAACTGACTGTGAATCATTCCCTTGGTACAACACCAATGTATGACTCCAATTATGTGTGAACACAGCAGCATGTTGCCTTGGCAACACATCAGCAGGGTTCTGCTGCTGCCACGGTGATGACTTGGAACGTCTCTCAACCGATGATGCATAATTATGTGTGTTTAACTACATGCAGCCACAGTTACCAATGAAAGATAATAGCTTTCCTTTTAGCTCAAATGGAGTGAATTCTTATGTGCATAACAGTAAAATTGAGTTGCCAAAACCAGATTTTGTCAAAGATTATGACTTCTGCCCTGTTCACTATTCTTTAAATAAGGTACATGCTTTCAGTCCTCAACAAAGGGTTTTATACATTTAGGAGGGCATTAAATGTGACAAGAAAACTGGTGTAGACTCTTTGTTAACAGGTTAGTTCGTTATTATCAGCCTAAATACACTGAGTCAGTCTGTAAAGGCAGAAAAAATGGAGTAATGTGTGGTCCATTAGTGGGTCAATTAAAAATGTATAACCTGTGGGCCTTAAGATGGATGGCAAAGATTATTTATTGACCAAGTGGAGAAACAGATACCATTAGTTGTTTCTCTTTCCAGAGCTGGGTGTGTCATTGACTGTCCGCAGTAAGCAAGACCAACTACTGACTGTCTATACAGTCGCATGAGCTGGGACGGGTGTATTAAGACCTTAAAAATAATTAAATTCTGTCTCCTCTTCCAAAGGTACATGCATGTGCTTTCATATTATACTCAGCTCTCTCTCTCTATATATATATATATATATATATATACATACACTGTATTTATAAACAGTTCTTATATTTAAATACATGTATATTTACGCATATATTGTAGTATGTATTATGTGAAAAATTTAATCAAAAGACATATAATTAAAGCTATTCTTACCCTGACATTCCTTTTAATAATGTCTCGGCTCATGAGGACGCGCCCCTCAGACAGGTCAATGTCAGCCAGAGGAACGAGGGTCTCTCCGATCACTTCATCACGTGAAAAGCGGTCGAAACTCAGCACCATGAAATGCAAAGCCAGCTGGGAAACCCGTGCGTATGGGATTCCATAGAAGCTGAAGGTCTCGTCGAAGGCTGGGTCCAGAGTCTTCCTCAAAACACGTGTCTTCACCTTGTGCTTCTTCTCAGGCAGCAAGGTCAGCTTGATATAGGGGTCAGAGGTCAATGATTGTTCATCCGTGGGAGACAATCCATGTGCCTCCTTGATGTGAACCGTGAAAGCCTTCTTCTCAAAGTTGTACTCAACCGAAAAGTAGAGGGTCCCGAGGCCACCCTCTGTGTCCTGAGATTTCTCCACAGCCGGTGTTGGTGTCTGACTGGATAGAATGCTTTCTGGAGTGCCAGCCTCCTGATTATCACCTGGCCCAAAGCCTGCCTGAAGAGACGGGATGTCCAGGTCTGGGGAACTACGCACTTTGAGTTGGAGGGTTGGTGGCTTGGAAGGGAAGTTTCCATTAAGATCTCGTTTCTCCAGGTCCAGATGGAGCTCTGGCCGTCCACCGGTGGGACTGAGGGTCTGTTTTCCATGGGCTTCTGCTGTCTTTTCTCCTCCAAACTTATTCTTTCCATTCAGACTCTCAGGATAGATGTCAACCCCCTTCAGCATGTGGACAAACTTATAGGGTGGGGTCTTGTTACTAGCCTTGTTGGCTTTGCGCTGACAGCAAATCCATGCAAAGATGGAAACACTGAAGACCAGGCCAAACACACTCACCACTGCCACGCTCACAGGAACCTCCGCTATGTATAAAACAGGAAATTGAGAAAAAAATACCAATAATTTATTTACTTATTTTATAGATGTATGTAGACTTACTGTTGCCATGAGATATTAAAACACCTTCAACCAGGAAAAGAATAGAGAGATTATATAAAGTTATTTGCATCTGAAGTGCAATGGCACTCTTTCGTCACCGAACAAGGTCTCAGGAGGGCACTGTCTGTTAAGAGATAACTATTATACCATTTACAAAGAACTGTAAATTTCGAGTGCAGTAGTGTCTGTGAATCTGGAAATCTCCGTTTTCATGGTGGGTGCAGCACCTCTCCAACGAATTAGCTAAGGTGCTCTGTCAGCCTTTTGTTTTCATCTCAGAAAACAAATCTCGTACTCTTCTGTGACTAACGTTATCAGTGAAAGCTTCTGACAAACATTCTAACGCGTTTCAAACATTTTCATACACCAGTGATGTCATAGGCTTCTAATAGAGCACGCGCCTATTAATGTCTATGCTCGCGCATCAGGGAAAAGCTGCGTTACTGTTAATGAGCCACGTTTCCAAAAATGTAACAACAATTCTTTAACCATTCACAAATACGACGTGTTCACCAAAAATGATAAATAACAATTTACTCACCGATATGTGCTTCTTCGGTCGTCACTGGTGCCATTGTACGCGCGCTCTGTCCAAGGTCCTGAAAAGATACTTTCAGCTCGCGCTGCCTCTCACGATTCTTCACCGCGCGTTAAACTCGCCAGTCTTTCGCTTCAGGCGGAAAGAGACACAAGACTGAATAATTTAATGGTTGTAGTAGATTAAAAATTTACGCCTGTTTATTGTTGTTCCAAAATAAACAGAATAAACAAGATTTCCCCCCTTTCCCAGAGGTTTCCTCACGCCCGCCCAGTGCTGATACTCGCTGCGCTATGAGTCTGCCTGACAAGCGACGCCTCCCCAATCCCCTCCCCTCCCCTCCGGTGAGTTCATCGCTTCTGACGCAGTCCTGACGAACACAGTGCCTGAAATCACCGCCCTGCGCTCTGATACCGAACACTCCCCTGTTAATCATTGTGATTGCCCAGGGTTTATGGTGTCTGTGTGCTTTCAAACGTATCTGAAGAGGTCCAGGTGATATGGTCTTTGTTGTGGTTTTATTAACGGGAAGGACTGAGCTGATGACTCTTCATTTCTTTTGTTAAAGTGCACACCAATTCACAAAGCACGGGCCCATCACACTGTTTGCAACGATTAATAAATGAACTAATTTCTTTTATGTTTCCTGGAAGTGACATTTGATCATAATAATGTGTGTAATAAAACGGTCTGTCTCAATAAATATCGTTAATATGACCTAAACTTCTCTGGTTGCGCAAACTAAAAGTGGACTTGTTTGTATTTTGTTCTTTTGCCATATGGTCTGACGTCTTTTAAGCCCTTATTTAATTCTTTATACGTTTGTCATTGTCCCTGTCTTCTACATGTTCCTGTCCTTATTTAACATCTATTGAATATTCATGCTCATCAACAAAAATCTGCTTTATGGTGTCACTCTCACAGCTTTCTTTATTACGTTGAAGTTTTATTTAATATGCAGTAGGGAGTCTGTGTTTAATCAACAAAGACTGTAATCATATAAAAAAGTATGCTGAGGGCATAGGATGACTTAATTTACAAAAATGATATAATTATAAATTATATTAAAATTATTTTACTGAATTCAAATGATACAATGCGTAAATTGACATCATATTTCTTGTTTTATTAAAAATCAATCTCGTCCCTTCCGCTTTTTTATTTAAAGGGGTCATATGATGCGATTTAAATTTTTCCTTTCTCTTTGGAGTGTTACAAGCTCTTGGTGCACAGATCTTAAAACATCTGGAATCACAAAATTGATATGCAGTTAGCCTAATTATTTTAATCTACTGACACTCCTAGTTCTTGTTCATAAAAAAGCTTTTTCATAATTACAGAAAGGATATAAAAGAAAATGTCCTAGCCTACATGAGGGGGGCTCTGGAGAGACAATGGATGAATTGGGGTCAAAAGTTTGAAAACCACTGGTTTAAATGAAGCCAAATGAACACTTGCATATGCCATTGATTCTAACTTGATACTAATTTCAGCCACAAATCATCATCAGCATGCATTCAGTTCCTGGGTTACCTTATCAACAGAACCTCCAGCCACTGTATTAGTAGACAAAATATTTTGCGGGTAAGCAGCTTGGTGTAACGTAGTCTTTCTTGGTACAGAATTTATAGTAATTTTAGCTAAACATTATCCCAAAAAAGTGAACACTTACAGGTATAGTCTGCCTGAAGCAATTACGCTCAAGGGCACTGCTCATTGCTCACTCTCTGACTCAATCAGTAGCCTTTTGATTAGTAAAACTACCATTGACTTTAGTCAGGGTACACATTCTATTTCATTTTTGTGCAAGAAAACAAGGCTGTGAGGGACAGATGTACAATCTGTTGTTATTGTCACACCATATGTTTTCCAGAGTTGTTGGTTATCAGGATTTTTTTATTATTATTATTTATTATTTATAATTTATTTTACATTTTTGTATTTTCAATGTTGCATTAGCTGAGCAATCAACAGCAAGTTAAAAACATTTCAACCCAAAAAACTAATTAGCAAAACATTATATTTGGTGTGTACGCTGACTAAGGTACACACATCTACTTCATTTTTGCATAGTACTTAATCAGTTTTATTGTGGTGTGAGAAACAGAAATTTATCAATGAAAATATTCAGTGTCAAAGACCTCTCTTACTTTTACGAGAAACTGTACTTTTACGGATAAAAGTACTTTCACTTTTGTGCAATAATTTGCTTATATTTTGACCAAATTTTAAAGTTGCTCATTTAAAAATGTAAGCGTTGCTATGCTAATTAAAAAACAAACAAACTTTATAGCACTTTTTATTTATTTTTGTAGCTGTTTCTTATATGTATAATTATACAATGTTCAATATTTGCATATGAACTAAAATGCATGTATAATGTTAATTTCAATAATACAAAACAGTAGCATTAATATTAGCAGTAGGGAGAGCAGGCGCGAAAGTACCATTTTTCAGAAAAACATAATTTTAAAAGATAATGTTTTAGACAGATATATTTTTGAATAACTCACAAGTAAGGTCTATCAATACCAGGGCTGCGTTCAGCCCCGACAAAAACGGTGCAAAACGTTTTTTAAATGGAAACGGTGATGCGTTGAACACCCTGTTCGGATGACGCACGAGTTGCAACTATGGCAGCTGAGAAGGCCAGCCTTTGTGTTCTTTTTGAAGTATTTTCGGAGCCTGATGAAATCGGTATAAATAAGTGTTTAATACTGCAAAATACGCTCGATGTTACAGTCATTTCCCTTGCCCTCCAGAATAAAAGACAACATCCCAATCAAATGAAGGGATTTGTGGAAACTGTGGTTCCTAATTATTGTGGTTATAAGGAAGAGCATTATAAGTGGTTCCACACTTAATATACAGACATTGTCACTTGCACACAGCAATTTCTGTAATATTTTATTTATTTACTTTTTTTACCTCTATTGCTGCTATGTAACTACCCATGTACAACCTGTTTGCACATTCTTCTATTGTACATTCCTGGTCATCTAAATATTTATTAAGCCTACAGTATATTGTCCTGTGCATTTTATTTTATTCTTATTTACACCGGTTTGAGCTTGAACTTGCCCCAGATTATATTTTGTACAAATGTAGAACGACTTCAGTATAATTTCACTTTGAACATACGTTGCATATTGTTACTTTCGACCCCATCAGTTGGGACGAAAGTAATCAATACAAGCTAGATTTTTTTTGTGTTACTCTCGTTTTTATTAAATATACCTGACTATGGCCTTGTTAATATGTAACTGCAAACATTTTTTGTCCTTTATCTTTGCAAAAATGTATTAAATTACATTTTAAATGTCAGTTTTATCAAATGTTTCAAAAGTATTTGAACAACAACATGAAAATATCGACAACACGCAGGCAAAAAAAAAAATACTTAAATTTTTTTAGTAAGTGTTTTATTTTGAATGATGTTATTTTAAAACGATTTGTTTTAATTTTACATTTTTATGATTTAATTCATTATTTGCTTTTCATTTTTCACATAGCTTGGAATGTGCTATAAACACTCGTTTCTGACGGTCTGTTGAATTGCATCGTTTATGTATGCAGAACACATGTCAATTTAAAATCTAATTTAATATAAATGGCCATTGTATTGATCTTTTTTTTTTCATGTCACCCCTAAATGTATGAGATCACACACCAACTACATCCGTCATGGCCAGCAGTGTTGCCAGGTCCGCGGTTTTCCCGCGGATTTGGGCTACTTTAACACCGTTGCCGCGGGTTGAAGCGCCCCCAATAAAGTGATATTTAGCCCATGGAATGCGAATTTTACTGGAGGAACCCCCCTTGAAACGAGATTGGGCTAGTTTAGTTTTGAGTAGCAATTGGGCGGGGTTTGTTCTGAAAACCTGGCAACCCTGATGGCCAGCGCCTCGCGCGCTTTCTCTGGGTCGTTTGGGCGACACTGACATCTGCTGGGGGCTTTGTTAACTCATACGTTCTCCCAATCATGATTTCACTAAGACTGAATTTGAACTTATATAACATTTCCAAACACATTAAATGAGATAATGACCAGATTAAAACATCGGTGGACCCTCAAAATACATCACTGGCTCAGCGTTTTATTATGTCTCATCACTTTTATTATGCAGGCAGCGCTCGTGCGTAAGAGCAGCGGGCGCGTGTGTGAAGAGGAAGAGCCGTGAGTCTCTCCAAAATGGCGATGACCATAGAGAGTGGCAATGCAGGAGCTGCAAATAAGAAAAAACACCTCGGAATCCCCGAAGCAATATTTGTGGTCAGTGGGAATATGGAATATAGTTCATTTTCACGTTCCGTGCTGTCGATAGTTTCCCGTAAAAGCTGTGTTGGTCTTTAAACGGCTTTCTTAAGTAGAAAGCGCTCTGCTCTTCTCCTTATGAGGCTGCAGCCTTTGCTTGCTAATGTCTTGACGGTGCAGTGAGCTTTGGGTGACAGATAACACACGATTAATCAGTATTTAAGTACTTAATAGGATGTAATTCATTTAGGAAGCCCATAAGATGTCGTTAATGAGATGTGAACTGTCACTTGTTCTGTAGGAAGATGTGGATGCCTTCATGAAGCAGCCGGGCAATGACACAGCAGACGCCGTGCTGAGGAAGCTGGATGAACAGTATCAGAAATATAAATATATGGAGCTCAATCTGGCTCAGAAGAAACTCAGGTTTGTTTATAGTCTATTCTACGGTGTACAGTAATAGGCAATGATCAGTTCCTGTGTCAATGCTAAAGGATGCTCTTCCTATAAAGACTTATGTTGGCTTCCAGTTTCCTTGCATCATTGTCGACTATTGTTGTTCTTATAAGGAACAAATAAGCAGCGATTTACTGCCGTATTTAAAAAATCTGATTCATTACTCAGAGTAAGCATAAAATATTGTTGCTTATTCCACTTGACACTGATATTTTTTTTGTTTTTTTTTAGGTTGAAAAGCCAGATCCCACAAATCAAACAAACTTTAGAAATCCTAAGACACATGCAGAAAAAGAAGGTGAAGCTATCACAATTTTTAACTCCCATATCTCCATAATATGCAAATGGCTGGAGGGAAGCAACTCTCTAATGCCTAAAAATGTTGCTTTTAAATGAGTGTTTTGTTCTCTGTTAATTTTTATTACCTCTCACACTTTGTCTCATCTCTTAATTTTATGTTTTCCTGTTCTTAATTATGCATGTCCAATCACAGGACACTACAGATCCCATGGAGACACATTTTCTGTTGGCTGATAACGTCTATTGCAAAGCCTCTGTCCCACCCACAGATAAAGTGTGTTTGTGGCTTGGGGTAAGTGTTGACTACTGAGTTTCATTGTATTAATAGTCAACATGAAATAAAAAATTTATCATAATTACTCTCTTAACCACCTGTTATATCTACAGATACAGATGATTTACAGACAGATAAAATCAAGTGCAATTCTAATTCTATCACCAGCCTGGGTCAGTGAGAAATGCATCACAATATGGAAGTAAAACGACTCGAGATGTGACTTAAAATATTACTGTTTTGACATTTTGAATATTTAAAGCATTGATGTTTACTGCCTACAGTTTTTGCTCTTTGGACTATTGTGCAGCTTAGTTGTGTTGTAAGAGGGTAGGTAGGGGATTGTACAGCTTGTGCTCCTCATGAACTGATGAAACCGTTTGCGTGATTAGCAGTGTATCACATGCCTGTCTATAGTTTGTCTGTAGTTTTGAATTACATTTGGTTTTGTAACAGCTTAGTTGTTAATTGGAAATTCAGTCCAAATTGGAGCAACTTGAGAACTAAAGAGTCACAGAAACCCTGTTTGCACTGTTGAGCAAGGCACTTCCTTTTGGACTGTCTGTTTATTAAAATGTACATTCAATTGCTTGGAATTGGATACAGTATTTATGCTAAATGACTTCTCACTCAAATAGCTTATTGGGCTTAAAAATATCTTTAATTGATATAATGACAAACTAGCTTACAGCTGTGGTTTTTGTGTTTGTGTAACAGGCTAATGTCATGTTGGAGTATGATATTGATGAGGCTCAGGCGCTGTTGGAGAAAAACTTTGCTACAGCTTCCCGGAATCTGGACTCTCTGGAAGAGGACCTGGACTTCCTTAGAGACCAGTTCACAACCACCGAAGTCAGTATCCTTAAACAATGGCTAGTGTGTGTGTGTGTGTGTATTAGGGCTGGACGATATGGCCGAAATTTATATCACGATATATTTCTTAATTTCGGTCGATACGATATAATTCCGATCATATTGATATTGAATTATTGTCCAGTCCTAGTGTGTATGTATATATATTAGGGATGTGCATCTCCATAACTGAGGCCGATGCGATAGCATCTCGATGCATAGTCAACGATACGATACATTGTCGATACATATGAAGTAGCTAGCGATGCGATACGATTCACAGCTATCCAGTGCGTTATGATTGGCCGAATACCTCAAGCGTGTGAGCAGAGGCCGGAGGCTAGAGTGAGCAGAGGCCACGGGCTAGAGTGAGCAGAGGCCACGGGCTATAGTGAGGAACGGCCGGAGGGCTAGAGTGAGCAGAGGCGGCGGGCTAGAGTGAGCTTTGTTGAAAATTGTTATGACAAACAATATATACACTACCATTCAAAAGTTTGGGGCTGGCAAGATTTTTTAATGTTTTTAAAAAAGCCTCTTGTACTTACCAAAGCTGCATTTATGTGAGTGGAGAAAAATACAGTGAAACAGTAGTTTTGAGAAATATTATTACAATTTAAAATAACTGTGTTTTTATTGTAATATATTTTAAAATATAATTTATTCCTATGATGTCAAAGCTGATTTTTCAGCAGCCATTGCTCAGGTCTTCAGTGTCACATGATCTGGTGCGATTTGGTGCTCAAAATCATTTCCAATTTTCATCAATGTTGAAAACCGTTGTGCTGCTTAATATAATATTTTTGTGGAAACATGATCTTTTTTTTTTTTTTTTAAAGATTCTTTAATGAATAGAAAATTCAAAAGAACAGCACTGATTTGAAATTAATTGAAATTTTTGTAGCATTATAAATGTCTTTTTGTTACTTTTGCTGAAATAAACATGTCCTTGCTGAATAATATTAATCTCTTAAAAAAAATCTTACTGACCCCAAAATTTTGAACGGTAATGGAACGCATCTAAAAGAGATTAAACTGGTCAGTATTTAAATTTTTTGCAGTATTTGATGTGTAGAGCTGTGGAGAGCATTGAGACATTACCTTTTGTTGCTTGTTATTGACTGTGTATTAATGAATCAGTTTTAGATTTAGCATTGAGGCCAGTTGTGAGAGAGATGGAGTTACGCACCGGCTCCAACACCAGCACCATTTTGGTGGAAAAGTGCAGATATGTATGTATCAATATACATAATAAGTGAATCATGTGGAACAAGTGCAATAAGGATCAATAAGTGAATCATGTGGAACATTCCTCATCAAAATTCATATCACATTCTCTGCCTTGGCAAACTGTCGTGTATTTTAATGGTTATTCAGACATTTGTATGACATCTGTAGATTTCTTTCAAGGAAGAACTCCTTGGTTAAATCAGATACAGGCCACAAGTGCCACCTGTTCTCACCACCTGTTAGAATCTATTATTGAAAGATTTCTTGAAGACATCTAAGTGTAACATGTTCTTTCTAGCCTCAGTGTAAGGAAATACTTGCCAACTTTTTCAGATCCACCTTAACCACTACTCTCACAGATATGGCACGTGTTTACAATTGGGATGTCAAGAGAAGGAGCAAAGACAACCTCCTCAAATCTGCAGAGCAGTCCTAGAAGAGGAGGCCTAGTTTGGTCCCACCCCACCTGAATTCCTTTCCCATCATAAAATTCACCCCATGTATCTGTTTGCACCAACACCAACTGTTATCTATTGATTTATTACTTTTTAAAGTATTTTTTCAAGTAAAAAGGTGAAAAACATCAAACAAAAGTAATAATGCTAGTTTTCTTTTTTTATGATGAGTTATTAGCTGTTTCAGAGGGGGCCTCTCTCCATAGGGTCTACACATTTGTCTTCCTCTGTGCTCTTTTTCCTCTCATTTGTTGTTTAGGAAACATCTGAAATTTCAGTTCTGTTCAAGCGAAACTGTTTGAACTACTATTATTGGCCTCAAATTTCTTTCTGTGGAATTTTTCTTGCCAAATCTTGGTAAGATCATTGTCAATGCAGCATGCAGAATATCAGGGGAACATCCTGTTTCATTTATCAGCCTCCTTTCTCCTTTACTTCCCTTTTCTTCACTCTTCCTTATCTAATGTCAGTTTTTTTCATCTCTTGTCCTTCACCTGTACTTATTTGTCACATTGTAGCCATTAAACACTGAACAAAGAACTCATAATGAAGCAATTTTGGAAAAGGCACAAAATAGATGAGATGGTCTGTGTTTTTAATCTGCGTAGCTTTTTATAATTCCTCGTCTGATTGAGGTTCTGGCAGTGAGTGAGATGAATAAGCTTTGATGAATCCAACTAATTAAATATGTGCCTGCAATTCCATCCATTTCTTTCAATCTTTGACAATCACTTGTGCACTACTGAAACTACTAATGTTGTCTTGATCTTCTATTGCCTTTCAATTATATTCTCTTGGAGCAGCACAACTGCTGTACTGATAATATCATCATTGAACTGTAAAACGACCCTCAATTCCAACAGGTCAAGGGTGGAATGTTAAACAAGTTATAATATTCAACCAGAACATTTTTAACATGTTACTTTAATCTGTAGTACGTTTCATGTTCCCTTGATAAAGAGGTACAGGGTGTCAAATTTTCACTGAAACCGAATCAGTAGTGTTTGTACAGCCAGCCAGTCCTTGCAAATCCACATCAGCCACAAAAAGCTTATAGAGCGAGCAAGTGGTCAACCAATCCAAAATCCTCTGGTTCTTCCCTGAGACCCTGTCTCAGCCATGTTTTAAAAGGCTTCATGCTATCCAATAATGTGAAGGATTAACTACTCAGCCAGTTGTGCACTGTTATGGACTGTATCGACACATCTTCTTCGATTTAATTTGAGAACGCGGCTATGGATATATTTCGTAGGGGTGAGAGTGAAAGTGAAGAGCAAGTCATTTCAAAAAGTAAAGATGTTATAGATGAATAAAGTAAGGATTAAATACATGGCGATACAAGCTCTATAGATACAGATGTCTTATGTGAATGTGTACAAGGTCAATGGCCCTCACTGGGCAGTTAGAAACCCTATAGGAAGAGCTTGCTTTTTCACATTAGATAGTACAATCGCAGGCTGTAACACTCAGAAACACTCTTTGGGATAAAAGGTGTAAAAGATGTACATAAATACAACAGATTAAGGTTTCTTTGTAATTCTGGTGAGCACCAGAGGCCTCTTGTGGCAATGTGTGATAAGTGAAATGTTAATATTTGTAAAATGATGCACACATGTATTAATCCATCTGGGGCTCATGGATGTGCTTTCAGTAGTCCCTTATGAATCTTTGCATTAGATCATAAAAATGAACCTCCTTGGTGATATGGATTATCATACCATGTATGACACATGCGTATCTCACACCATTTCAATTACAATTTTTTGTTCATATGGGAATCATTAAAGATCATGTGTTTTTCCAGTCTTGGAATTCTTCATGTAGTATATTGCAGTATATCTCCTTCCCTTTGTCTTTCATTTTACTAAAAATAATCAGACACTTCACACCTTCAGCAATCAAATGTTTCAAGTCTGACATGTTTGAGTCAACAGAAATGTGTATCCCAGCGTTGAAGTCAGCAAGTAAAAGTTGTGTTAGTCCATTCCGTTATCTCTCTCATGATACAACCAATAGAAGATACTTGGAACAAGCTTCTTCCTGATATTGGAGACGTCCAAAGCCAGAACATCTTTATTTGGGAAGTCAAACTTTTGTGGCTCAATAGAATGAATGACAGATTCATTCTACAGAATGACAGAATGTGCAGATATAGTTTTGACTGGCCTTTCAGCAGGAGTTCTGCGATAGAATTTGGCTATATACAATATTGTGTGATTAGGAAAATGAGCAAAGTAGTATAGAAAAGTGAAGCAATATGGTATGGTGGGACTCGTTTAGGCAATCAGCAGGCAGGAAAGGGGTGATGTCATAATCAGGGAGTTGAAGACTGACCCTGTGATTGGCGGAAGCATTTCTTTTGTGCACCAGGGCCCAAATGTTTGATAGGTACCAGGGTGGCGCTTACAGACTCAACAGAAACACCGGCGATCGCCCTTTGTCACTTCTTCTGACGAATGCACCACGTTTGGTACGAATCCACTCTTCACTCCCTCCCAACCCTCCTGGATGGTAATCTCCCCACTCTTCACCAGCTCGAATATATCCTGTGTTAGCTCTGTAAAAGCCCTCTCCACGTTTATGGCGTCGCGTGCTGAAGTCTCCACGTAGCGCATGCCGTACGCAGCCGCTAGCTTCTCGGCCTCTTGCCGGCTCACCTGACGCTGTGGTTCCAGATCACATTTGTGACCGACCAGCAAGAAGACAATGCTGTGAGGCTGCACGTGGCTGCGTGCCTCCTCTAGCCACTCATGAATGTTCTGGAAGGAGCGACGGTTGGTTATGTCGAAGAGCAGCAGACCTCCCACTGAGTTACGATAATAGGCTCTGGTAATAGACCTGAAGAAGGCATAAAAAAAAAAAATAATAATGTTCCTGAATTTGAATTGACAGTATACAGAATGCAATATTGCAATTCAATTTTGAATGTGAGAAAGTAGCATTTATGTCGGCATGAAATGTATTTTCTAAACGCATGTTATTGAACTGATTGTGAACAATACATCCATGTATATGTGTACATTTTTTTGTAATTTTTAATCAAATTGTCATAACTCTATCTTTCAACAGATTTGTTGGACATATGCTGGACTTGTCCATCATTTTGTCAGCATTAAACTCCTTTCTTAGAATTGACTGCAAGTCCAGATCTGCCTCCATCCAATCAACAACAGATGGATTTAACAAAGACCATGTCCCAATTTTTATTTATTTTTTTCAATATTTTCACTTGGATATACATTACATTTTAGAAGAAAAAATCTGTCACTCCTTGCGTTACATTGTAACTTTAAAATGAATTGAAATAAACTAATTTTAACTAGAAATGCAAATATTATGGTGTCTTCATAAATCCTTGTCTGACAATAAAAAAATAAAAGACTTTGACAGCTGATGATAGATAGATAGTATATTTTATAGTGTTGAGAAATAAATAAAGTGATCAAATTATGTGTTTATGAAAAATGCAGCGTGGATGTACAACAGAATCTGTCCTGTAAAACTAGTAAGGCATTTGTGTGTATGACAGGAAAGGAGAAAACAGGAAATGTAAAACTGCAACAGGAGGCAGAGATGAAAACAAGGTAGATGAAAAATGTGTAAAAAGGCATCAGAGTGAGACTGTAAAAAGGGTCTGAGCTTGTGTAGGTGTACTGCTGGGAACGCACTGAGCTGTGAAGGATGCATAAGGGCCTCTGGAGTTACTGACATCACTTTTAAGTCAGACATTTGTGACATTGTAGATGGCAGTGCTTCACCAATATTTCTATTTCCTGTAAGAGTTCTGCAAAATCTTTTGTTGGTAAAGAGACCTTTCAGCTACTTTCATTAGTAAAGAAAAATAGACAGTATCTCTGAATCACCTAGGGTGAAAAAAAAGAATCAGTGACGTGTGAATCAGTCTGTCAAGTCTGGGAGAAATACATCAGCATGGATACCATGGAAACACCAATCATGTGGATGGATAAGGACTCCTGATCAGATAAGCTTGATGATTTAACTTAATAAGGTGGAGGTTTCTTCACCTAAGCAACTATTTGACACTGTACAATCAATAGTTAATTATATAAAATAATGTGCCAATCAGCATAAAATCTTTCTGAGCTAATAAACTGATATTATTTACATAGACATACATCTTTATAGAATTGGGGGTCTATAAGATTTTAATTTTTTTGAGGTAAACCACTTAAACAACTCTATATGAAATGTATTCATCCACCCTATGAACAATCAATACATTATTGGACAGTCATTTACAGTGATGCAGAATCATGAGAAAGGTCTAATGTAACATAATCCAAGATAAAGATTTACAATACCTGAAGCGTTCCTGTCCTGCTGTGTCCCAAATCTGCAGTTTAATGCGTTTCCCAGGTTCGATCTCCACCAGGCGGGAGAAAAAATCCACCCCTACCGTCGGGTCTGACACCTGTGCGAAGCGGCCTTCTGTGAAACGTCTAATTAAACACGATTTTCCAACAGTGGAGTCCCCAATAACAATCAGTCGAAATTGGTAAAGCCAAATTGCCTCCATGTTTACTCAGGTCTGTCAAAGCAAAAAAGGAGAGAAGTGAATTAGATGCTGCCAAAACACGTTCATGATTTCCAACAGAAAAAATACATTATTTTATTCGCCCATATTTTATGTCAGCCTGCTTTAAGAGTTTACTAAAAGGAGAAAATAGAGCAAATTTCTCTTTAAAATGTTTGTAACCGTATGAGGATATGTTGTGGTTATCTCTGCCCTTGCTTTCTGTGGGAAGGTAGTTGAGGCACAAAATAATCCTTTCAGAGTTTGATTTTAAGGCCTGCATCAGTTATGATTGTTCATCCATCACTAAAGTTCAGCTTAAGATTTGAAATTTTTGTAAAATATAGCAAATATATATATAGCCAATTCTATATAATGGCCATAGTATTTTAGGATGAACTCAATGCTGATTTTCCATAATGGAAGAATATACATAATTTGTTTTAGTGCAATATATGTTTATACGTTCTTAGTCAAGTGCAGGTTACTGAATGCAATCACTCAGTTAACATGACCTACTGACAGTATGTGATGCCTGTTAGATTACTGAGATTTCACTGAGGCTCGCCTGATAGCTGGACAGTAGCTGGCTATCGTTGGCCTTGTCATAATAACGATTAGCCTACTCTCTGTTCTATACCATATAAAACAGACAACTCTTAAACAAGCGTTGTCTTTGTATAGAAGCATCTGTGTAGAGGATTCCTTATTCGGTGCTCTTTACTTACGTTTTTTGTTTGGTCGGTTCAAAGCTACCAAACGGCAGATTCCATATTCTTTAAAGGATTGAAGCCTCTGTAGAAACCGCTGGATGAAATGACGGACATAAACTATTCACATAACATACCGAATAATAAACAAAACATTCGTCTCTACATAAAAAAAACAAACAGATGCAAACCAAACTGTGCCGTGTAGGCGGTCTATTTTGCTTAGATGTTGCTAAAGATGAGTCGGCGTGTTGTTGAAATTATCCCTGCCTGGATCAAAGTCGCGTAAAAGTCAAAGATGATTTACATCTGTCATGTTTTGATCCACGCTTGGAAGATGGAGAAATGTTTGGATGTTTTGTGCTGATGAAATGGAAGCGACAGCAGAAGCATCATATAGCCTGACTCATCCCGCATCAGCACCAGTACCACAATCCTCCTAATAGCAGCCACCTATAAAGGGAAACCTGTCAGTTGGTACATTACTATAATATTAAAGGTGAAGTCCAAACTTTTACATTAAATTGCTATTTATTTTTAGATAATCAACAAACAAAACATTCAAACACAGTACAAACATTCAAACTGCACGTAAGGCAGTTTTTGTATCAACTTTTTAATCATATAATTTGGTTTTGCATTCTACAGTGTACTAAATTTAAACTGTGGCTGTCATAAAAACATGTTTTAATATTTAACATACATTAAATAATGGAGACATCACTAAGTGAAGGTTAAGTAAAAATATAATATTGAATATTGTGTATATGTTATATTTATATTATGAATGGCAAAACGTAACGGGCACCTTGAGATAACCAGAGACCCTTGTGCTACAGCATTACGTTAGGCCCCCTACCCTAGAGATTTTTTATTTTTATTTATTTTATTTTTTTTAGCTTCCTGACAATTATTTATGTTGAATTTAGAATTTTTCTGGTTGACATGCCAGATAAAACTTACAACACTGTTCTGCTTAAAATATGAATATAAGTGAATACGCAAATTCACTCTTTGCCAGTATAACATAAAGTAAACACTACGTTATTACAGGTATTATACGGAGCTAATATGAAAAAGTGGTTGTTAACTGAGTTTTTATTTTGAAACATGCCGTGCTCGCGTTTAATTAATTAAATCATAGCATAAAGTAGCCTACACAGAATTATAGCGCTCTTGCTAGGCTTCTTTCACTAGCGCATTGTGCATGCCACTCACAGTAAATTGATTAAACAATTCAACTATACAAGCAGGGCGTCGCTTAAAATGAGTGTGTGAGTTTGTTTACAGAATGCTTGTCACTGCTGCAAATTCCCATATACACAAATAATTATTCGAAAAATATAATTTGCAGCCAGTAGCCAAGTGCAGGCCCCTGCGTTATGCGCCCCTGCCATATCCCCCATAGATATTCAACATTTTAATGCCTACTTTCCTTGACTCACTTATGTTGTTTTATACATAATTTTATGATTATCTCTTGGAGCATATGGATTTTTTTAACTTTAATTTTTATAGCCTGTATTTTTAAGTAGATCGATATGTTGTTTGAATTAGCCTAAACTTCCTAGATTTGATTGTTTAACCACATCCTTGCTTTTAATTGAAACGAAAACTGTCCCACTTTTCCTGTTGATCTATACAACTTCTAAAAAAAAAAACATCTAAACGAGTCTTTCAGTAGCTATTACATTGAAATGATTTTAAATATTGTTTTGATAAATTTGCATTTAGGGCGGTTGAAACATCACAAAAAGTAAGCTAAGCCTATCTACTCCGTTTTGAGTCTACTATCTTCCTTTAGGTTTAATTCACTGATAAAGTTTCAATGTCTTTCTTGTGCGCCATCTATTTCAAGTTTTACGAGCAGAAGAACCAGATAACCAGTATGACGGGAAATGTAGTTTATAGGTGATTCTCGATACTAAACGCTGGACCAAAGTCTTCTCATAGCCCTGAAGTTTAGTTAGGCACACTGTGATGGGCTTCTTGAACAGATCAGCAATACTGGATATTTGTCTGAAAGACTCGACAGCGGATCCGCACGTACGCTACGAAAAGTTGTCGACAGGCAAATAAAGTGCGAAACTTCTCACCTCTCGAAGAAACGCTTTTTTGACAGCTGTAAGGCGCGCGTCCTTCAGCGAAACGCAGTGAATTTTTGGTTTGTTTGTTTATAATTTTACGATCTACGAAAACCTAGATGTGGAGAGTTAGAGTACTCCGACCAACACGACTTTTAATTTTACGTAAATAATCATTAAAAAAAGTGTTCTCTCTTTTGGACAAAAATTGTCATATAGTTTAGACCGCTGAAATGCAGCAGGAGCGGCTACTCAAAGTCCTTGTCATTGGAGATTTGGGTGTGGGGAAGACTTCCATCATAAAGCGATATGTGCATCAGGTTTTTTCTCAACATTACCGCGCGACTATCGGTGTTGATTTTGCTCTAAAAGTCCTGAATTGGGATCACCAGACAGTTATTCGACTGCAGTTGTGGGACATTGCAGGTCAGTTACTGAAGTTATGTATAGTTCTTTGTCTTTGCCTGCAGTGTTAATGATTGTCACTATATTTTATCTAAAAAGTCAATAGGCCTGTGTAAATAAATGAGCATATATTTGAGAGGAGCCTTCAAGCGATATGGCATGCCATACCTCGTCAAAAACTATTCTACACAGCATTTTCTGATTCTTGTATAGGCTACTTATATTATCCATGCCATTTTGGACCTCAAACTCAAACTAAAAGATCATGCCCGCGTTATCTGTCAGCTATACATTTATACATAAAAGGCAGCTATTTTAGTCAGTTAAGTGTAATTGCTTGTCTTAAATATAAAAGCAAAGTAAAATCTGCAGTGATTAGTTAATTGTAGAATTTAAAGGGGTCATATGATGCTTTTTTAAAGATCATTATTTTGTGCATTTGGTGTAACTATGACTTTATATTTACAGATGAAGAAAATTGAGCAAAACTCACAAAATACAGTAGAAATTAAGTTTTGTGACACGTTAAATTGATGGAACCAAAACTCTTTAGATTAAAAAGATGAAATTTTTTACAGTGTTTACAAAAAAATATGATGTCAAAGAAGTTTCAGCCTTTTAACCTTCGGTTTCCAAGCACTGATGATTTATTGACCATTCACAGTGAAAATGCACCACATAATACTTATTCAGACAGTATACAGAAAGACAGAAAGAGATAAATAACATTACTAGAGTAATGCTTTAACACTTGGCTTGAACAATGTCAATACATACATAACATGTTTTGTTTGAGATTTTCCTGCTCTCAGCTGGAGTATGTGACCTCACAGTATGAATCCCTCTCTTTGTTTATACTCAGAATAAACTGAAGCACAGGGTCAGGAATGTGTGTCTCATGTTTATATTCACTGGTCTCGTGCTTGTATTGGTCTCATGTGAAGGTCCTCACATCACCTACTGGTGGAAAACACTAAAAGCACTTTACCTCACTCTCACGCACATAAAGTCACACCAGCTCCAGGACAAAACATTCCCACAGTGCATTTAATTCAACATGGCTGACAGATTGGAAAACTCAGAGTCATGTTTACATAACTCTAAAAACTAGAGATATGTTTTTTTTAGGTTAAAGATGATAAAAATAATGTTAAATTCACAAAAATGGATACAATTTAAATAAATGTTTCTGTCAGCATAGTTATTGACTGTGAAATTGAATTTAACTCAGAGTATCTGGATGAGTGCATGACAGTCATCCCTAATTGAACACAGTAGTTTTATGACCTCACACAAGACCTCATACAAATCAAACTTCAAGGTACTCCACTGTGAACCCTGAATATTAGCTGTGAAAATCTCATTGGCCTCAGTTCGCCTTCATTTTTAACATGATAATGCATTAATACAGCTTAGGTACATTTAATATCTTCCACAAAAGAATGGTTCTCATTGTAAAGCCTTGCCAATCCATTCATGTTCACAATCGTTTTCTATGTGGTGCTATGAAATCAGGATTAAAATGTATGTAACTTCAATGATGCAAGAGTTGGAAACAATGTGATGCTGTAGGTAAACATTGGAGCTAGCGCACTGTGGATTGTGTCATAAAGAAATGTAAAAGTTCCCAGACTATAGCTACAAAGAACCTTTATTGACATAATATTGTATGATTCGATTCAGTTCCATTCAATTCGATTCAAGATATATTCAGTTAAGCAGACATAATAAACATGTTGTTTATGATTACAGTTTGTGTTTGTAATGATTACAGTACAGGGATGTATGTATGATATGTAGGGATAATATATACTGCCGAAAATTTGTGTAGAAAAATACTATACCGTCATCACATCACTATAGGCGTCCCACCAACATGATTGGGCACAGTTAGTTAACTGTTTCCAATTGTGAACAGGCCAAATTGTGAACTGTGTTCAAATGGAAATGCATCTGTCTGCTCTGACAGATTTTATAAAAAAAAACTTAAAACTGAAATTAAAAGTTAAAGGTATAGCACTCCCATAAATTAATATTTGCTGAAAATATCCTCACCCTCAGGCCATCCAAGATGTAGATGTGGTTGTCTCTTCATAGGAACAGATTTTGCTCACCAATGGATCCTCTGTAGTGAATGGATGCCTTCAGAAAGCAAGTTCAAACAGCTGATAAAAACATCACAAGAATACACAAGTAATCCACACAGCTCCAGTCCATCAATTAACATTTTTTAATTTCAAAATGTTGCTTCGGGCCTCTATGCATAATTTTGCTTTCTCCAGTGAAAAAAACATCGTCTAAATCAAGAGAAAAATGTGCACAGATCAAGCACCATTAAAACTGAAATTAAAAGTTAAAGGTATAGCACTCCCATAAATTAATATTTGCTGAAAATATCCTCACCCTCAGGCCATCCAAGATGTAGATGTGGTTGTCTCTTCATAGGAACAGATTTTGCTCACCAATGGATCCTCTGTAGTGAATGGATGCCTTCAGAAAGCAAGTTCAAACAGCTGATAAAAACATCACAAGAATACACAAGTAATCCACACAGCTCCAGTCCATCAATTAACATTTTTTAATTTCAAAATGTTGCTTCGGGCCTCTATGCATAATTTTGCTTTCTCCAGTGAAAAAAACATCGTCTAAATCAAGAGAAAAATGTGCACAGATCAAGCACCATATACACCGTTACAAGTGAAAATAGTTCTAAATAAATATGTTGGTGGATTTGTTGAGAGGACAACAGGGGATGGACTTTTTTACTAGAGGATAATAGACTTGTATTTTTGCCAGAAGCGGCAGTTTAAAGTTAAAACGCCTTGATAAATTAGTTTCTTACAAACATGCCGTTTTTCACTTTACAAGATGTTAATTAATGGACTGGAGTCTTGTGGATTATTGTGATGTTTTCAGCTGTTTGAACGCTCATTATGACGGCATCCTTTTACTGCAGAGTATCCATTAATGAGCAAGTGATGTAATGCTAAAATGCAACATTCATCTACATCAGGGTTCCTCAAATCTTGCCCAACCCTGGTCAAACACACCTGACCAAGCTAATCAAGGGCTTCAGGATCACGAGGGCTGCGTTCCAGTCCATTTTTTTATGCCCTTCACTCGCAAACTTCCCTCCGTCTCGTTTACTCGGATGTAAGTCATTGATTACGTTGCATGAGTGCCCACTTCTGGCGGAACCCTTGGAATGGGCTGAACTGGAACGTCCTAAGCCCTTGATCACTTAGAATCAGCTATGGGGTTGGTTTACTGTTTAAATGTTTTCCCTTATGAATTTGTTTGTTGCAGCATTCTATATGTATATAGGTTTGTTTGGGCTGTTATAAATGTTACATTTTTTTATTTATATATTATAGAGTTGTTTGGGGTGGGGATAAATTAAACGCGATCTGTGATGACGTCGCAATCGTGTTGCATTGTGGTCTATGGAGCGGCCTGAAGTGTGCATATGAAGCAGACTCGCTCCCTCGGTCAAAATCGAGGGGTCGAGGGTCTGTCCATATAAACTTCCCTCGTCCACTTCACAAAGTGGAACGCACTTCAGAATGGCAGCGGGGATTCCCCCGAGGGGAAGTGCTTAGGGAAGTTGGCGAGTGCGTGTCTAAAAGTGGAGTGGAACGCAGCCCTGGAAATCAAAGATAGGTGAGCTTCATCAGGGTTTGAGCTAAACTCTGCAGGGCAGCGGCCCTCCAGGACCGGATTTGAGGAACCCTGATCTACATCTTGATAATTTTTGGGTGAACTATTCCTTTAAATATCATACACAGAAACTATCTTAACACTTTTTTTCTTATTTATTCTCAGGACAAGAGAGGTACGGCAACATGACACGTGTGTACTACAGAGAGGCCGTAGGGGCGCTGGTGGTTTTTGACATGACCCGCGCCTCCACCTTCCAAGCTGTGTTGAAATGGAAAAAAGATCTTGATTCTAAAGTTGCCCATGGCAATGGGCGTCCCCTACCAGCTGTCCTGCTGGCCAACAAGTGTGACCAACAGAGATATGGTTTGTGTTCCAAACTGCCCAAACTCGACAATTTCTCTAGGGATCATGGATTTGTGGGGTGGTATGAGACGTCTGCGAAGGTACTGATTATAGGTTATATATTTTATTATATTACCCTTGCTAGTGCCTAGGTGCCTGTTTGAAAAGACACTTCTATTCATATTATTCCTTCTTATTTTTAACAGGACAACACAAACATTGATGCAGCCATCACGTGTCTTGTAGAAAATATAATGGCCATTGACACGGAGGATGTTCCTGTTGAATCGGACCCTAGTGTACTGATCCTCCCTGCTTTTGATTATAACCTAAAAGAGCGCAGTGACTCTAGATGTTCTGTCTGCACAACATTCCAGTCCAGCAAAAACCCCCCACAGTGAATTATAGAGTGAGATGATGAAAAGAACACAGAACAGAGTGGGAAAGAAAAATATAGAGAGAGAAAGAGAGAGAACGGTAACACCCTTTGTTGGGCCTTCAGATAGTGCTGAAGTAAGCCTTTGTGGGAAAGACTAGACCATGAAGTCTTAACACTTATATGCACTTACATTTACACATACCAAAAACAACAGTCATCAATAAAACATGCAGCGTTTACACAGAGTTTTCTCTGATAAATACTTAATGCTATAGACTCACAACTATATAAGGCTCTTGAGGTTATACTGCAGCAGAAGAGCGGCGTGCGCACATTTGCCTCAACTTTGTGTCTGTTAAAGCCTCTGACTTTAAGTCTGCATCCTCAAAATGTGTGCATGCATTTGTGATTACATAGCATAGGGGTGTGCTATTTTAAACAGTCTACAACAAGCTTGTACACTCAACCGATACTTGAGGCTCTAAAAACACAGTTAAGTAACTAGACCGTTGCTGCTTATCAAGCTGAGATAAATTTGGGATTTTAGGCATGTAAACCAACAACAACAGCAACTAGACAAAATACTGTCTGTAGTGCTTTCTTTAGAGATATGACTGCACACATCATTTCACGTTATAAAAGATGAAATGATTATTTATGTTGAATGCAAGGTTTATATCAGAGATCAAGGATGATGTAAGATCTTCAAATGATTAATTAAATTCAGAGTTAAGCAGTCATGTGCCAGCATACAAAATTAATTTCATTAGTGTGAATAATCAGCAGTGGATTCACGCAGTCAAGTGTGTGTGTGTGTGTGTGTGTGTGTGTGTGTGCACGTACGTACATTAAAGCATTAGCATCAGACAAGTAATTGCGTTGAAGTGTCTCGGCAGACACTGTGGAGGTGTGTGCCTAATGTTTAAATGTGTGACTGGATGTTTGAGTGTTTTTTATGTCATGACCCACATGCTTACTGTCTGCTCACAGCAGTAATTTTTCCACTCTTTGTTTACCATGTATGTTTTGTCTGACTTGCAGAGGTTTTTCTTCAGCTCCTACCATCTATGCTTCGGTGCCCATAATTTATGGATCCCCACAGCTCTCTTACTAAATAGGCTTTTACTTTTTTACATATTTGAGGAAGTGTTTTGGACTGTGTAACTATCTGTATAATGTCACATCTCACAAAACAGTAATTATATGTAAATTTTTTTCTCTCTGCTTGTTGGACTGCTTTAGTCCTCTTTGCCACATAACAGTCTGCCACATGGCGCGTGTCTAACAGTGACCTTTACTAAGCCTACTTTTTATTCAGCAGACATGATGTATAATTTTATGGCAATTTAAATGTGACAGTTAAATGTTTTCGCAAAAAAGAAATGGCCTTTTTTTGTTACTCATTAACATATGTGTATGCAATGGCTTGAATAATGAAAAGCTTTAAACAACCTTTACTGTGTTTTTCTTAATTTTTTCATGTCCCCAGCCTTGCTGTATTAGCATATATAAATATTTTGATATAATAATAAATAATACAGTAAATAAAAGGTATGTAATTATATATTTTAATTTTGCTTGACATAATATATTCAAATGCAGAAATGTTAATTCATGCATTCATGACCTCAAGGTTAGATTATTGTAATGCTTTATTGGTTGTTCTGCACACTTAATAAACAAACTCCAGCTGGTCCAAAATGAGTTCTTACTAGAACCAGGAAGTACGACCATATTAGCCCGGTTCTGTCAACACTGCACTGGCTCCCTATTAAACATCGTATAGATTTTAAAATCTTGCTAATTACTTATAAAGCCCTGAATGGTTTAGCACCTCAGTATTTGAACGAGCTCTTATTGCATTATAGTCCTTCACGTCCGCTGTGTTCTCAAAACTCTGGCAATTTGATAATACCTAGAATATCAAAATCAATTGCGGGCGGCAAATCCTTTTGCTATTTAGCCCCCAAACTCTGGAATAACCTCAGAAGCATGCGATAGTGTCACGGCGCGTTGTCGTTAATGATCAAAGGGAATTCCGTAAAAGTGCTTTGGACAGCAAACTGTTACCGGTTTTCGTGCCAATCGAAAGGTTAACGACTGTCCGGACCAAATCACCTTAGAAAAAACCGGGAAGAGAGGCGATGCAAGATGTTTTCCTGAAATCAAGTTTGAGCAGATATTTTGGTAAGTAGCACACTTGATGGGGGCATTATGTCAGAAATGAATTAATCAAAAGTAAACTACAATATGTAAAAATAAAATTAAATGGATTTAAATAGATGTTTTGCTGTTTTCCAAGCATGATACAGCACAGCGGTAAAGTCTCCATAATGCCGTGGATGAAGACAGAATTGCTTCTTTTTATTTTTCCATTGATTTCAGGTGGGATACTGCCTTGGATCCTCTTACTTATAAAATATTGTTCAAATGGTGTGTTTATTAGCCTACTGCCTTTTATTAGACAGCCAGCTGTCTTTCTCTCTATTTATGAATAGCCTATTTAATAGTTTATTAGCCTAATAATTAGTGGTATCTTTGTTTTTTAAATAGTTGTAGCATGCTGTTTGTTTATTAACTGTGTATCTATTATAGGCCTATCTATTATATAGAAGAAGTGTTCATTACTTAAGTGTTTTAGTAGATTTCAGGGTGGACATGAGAGTTAAAAAGACACAAAATAACATGAAAGACCAAAGATTCAAATTAAAACAAAATTAATTTCTCCATTATTACATCTCTAAAATAATAAAATTGCAGATTTTGTTTGAAAGAGTGTGTGTATTCATGACTGTGAGATTAGTTTGTGTGCTAAAGCACTCATGCTGGTCATCTTGAGAAGTTTAAGCAGACGTTAATTTTCAGGGGTTCGCAAGGCTGTATTTATGTAATGTGAAAGTAAACAAGGAAAATTGGCACAACGTTCAATTAATTCCTTTATTTTCAAACTAAAACAGCAATGTTTCATTTATAAATCTCTGAGAATCTCTGGTTGAAATGTTGCTGTTTTATTTGGAAAATAAAGGGAATAGTTGAACAGTTTACAACGTGTTTTCTGTTTTGGTCCTCCACCTGTTGAAGGTGTTTTGGATGTGCTTATTTTCTCCAGTATTACACATTGGTTGAGAAAAATCCCTGAATACAAATGTTTTTGATGTTCCCATATTCCTTATGAAACACTTAACTATAAATCATTCTTTTTAATTTATGTAGCAGAGTTTAAAGCTCACCTTAAGAACATCAGAATGTTAAAAGTGTAAGACAGAATTTGTATAATAAATTGCTTATCGCTTGTTAGTCACTTGAGATAAAAGCATCTGCCAAATGACTACTTGTAAATGTGAAATTCACAGCTCTAAAACCTGACTGTATGTTGGCAGTAAAAGCATTCATTTAGCATCTACGGAGTCAGGCATTTGACTATACGGATGACGCAAGTGTTGACTGAATGAGAGGGAGGAGTAAACCATTTCAGCAGGATTTCCATGCTCTGTCAGTCAAGAATACTCACTCACAAATGCTCTGCTTGCGTTTTTGTGACACAATCTGCAGTACCACACACTGTACTTTATATGAATGTATAAAGAGCTTTTGTAAAACAAGATAAAATAATTATTTTTTAATTTCTTGGTCCACGTATTTTAATTATTTCTAATGATCTATACAGTGATCCAGAATCGTTTTAGAATAAAAAAAATCCAGTGCAATTTTCTATTACAAGCAGAATTTGAACCACATTGTGTTATTTTCAAGTCAACATCTCTTGTTTATATAAGTAGGATGCTCCCTGAGGAAGTGATCAGTTGCAGAAACTGTTGCCAAGGGCTACTGCTGGATCTAGTTGCCATGGAAATAGTTGCATCTGTTTTCCTCTAGATGGGGCTGTCACATCAGCTGTTCAGATGGACTAACTGCAAGTATCCAAAATATCTGCTGGACTAGATGTTAATCTTGTAGATCAGTTTAATGTTTTGTGTTTTCCAGTGTCAAAAATATTAACGTTCATTGCAAATGCATTGTCTTTGTGCATATGAATACCACACAATGAATAGGTTCTTAGTAAATTTATAGTAATTTTGTTTTAATAGTAGTTTTCTCAGTGATGTAAAAACCTAAAACAGCTATTTAAAAAATCAGGTTTACTTACACAAATGGTTTGTCTTGTTAAGCATAACCTTAGAGTGTCATCAGTTTTTAAAGTAGACTATATATAGCCATATGTGACACAAGTTCAAATGAGCTATTTACATGTTAGAATGAGACATGTTCTCATGCTCCTCCCAAATGAAGTCAAGGTTCGACACCATTGTGGTTTTGCTCTTTAAACCACTTCCTCATACAGAGAGGTGTGTTTAAATGTTGTACTTCCCTTCTGAAACATACTTTTGCTTACCTCATTTTTGACACACTGGGTTTTAATGCTTTAGAGAAGGTCACAGGTCATCACTTTTTTTTTTTTTAATTCAGGGTTATGGGACATATGTTTTAACATTTCAATAATGCACTTGTTCACTGTAATACACTACATTCTAGTTTGTATAAATCTAATGTGGAAAAAAAAATTCAAGCAAAATGTGAAATGTATGTTTTGTGTAATACATCTATTGTGTCTTGTTATTTGATTGCATTTGTGTAATCTGTTATATCACAGTGTATTGTAATATATTTATAGTGTCTTTTTTTTAGTTAGTCTTTCATTAACAGATCAAATGGTATTTTGTGGTATTTTAAACCAAATTACATCTCACAGCTCTTAAGTGGGCATTAAACAGAAAACGACTCCGTTCATGCTGATGGACACTTTCTGATCTTCATTTTGCTTCAATTGGTTGTCATAATACGGTGAATAGTACAACACAGTCAGTCAGTCATTCACATGTGAATAGACAAGGGCAAAGTGATCTGAAAGCTTTGTTGTGCTTCTGAAACTGTTGGATGTCGTTTTCAGAGAGAAACGCAGACATAGTCACATAAAAAAGGTTGACTGAGTCATAAGCTTTTGAAGAGACATTCCGAACATATTTATAGGCTACTTCAAAAAATCAGAATGCAGAATGCAAATTCTAAATTTTTTTACAGTTAATTGCAATACAGGCTATAAATGATTTAATACTAAAATAATACAGTAATACATAATTAACCTTTAAATTCCCTTAAGTGATTAATAATAATTATTAATTTCGAAATCTGAATAATTTTGAATATTTATACAAATACAAGACAATTTCAACAGAGACACAATGCATACTGTATAGTCTCACTGTCGAACCAATCTGACTGATTGATTTTGATCCATGCACAAAATATTAAATGCGGATCAAAAATGAATTATATTGTAATTAAATTACATTACTTTAAATGTACATAAAACATATCCTATGAAAACATTATGAAAGTAATTCATGAACACTTGTGATTCCCAACTGGCAATGCCAAAAAAAAATAAATAAATAAATAAATAATATATATATATATATATATATACACCTGTTTTTATACAGTCTATGACACACACACACACACACACAATTAAAATGTATACATGTAAATGTATTACAAAAGTTGAGCATTACTTAAAATCTCCGGGGGCATTTTAGGCAAATCATTTATGGATCAGCTGTCAAGAAAGAATCACAACGAGAATCCAAGTAAAGAGTGGCAACGCTATTTCCCACGAACGAGTCAACGCCACTTGCTCCCGCCCAATCAAACTCCAGCTCTTCGTTCACCTGATCAGAGCGAAGCCATTTTGTCCTGAACGGCTCCGCCAGCGCATTCTTCAGCAAACCGGAATAACGTAGAGCTGACAGTTCGAACCACAGACACAGCGTCAGACAGGGGTTCTACAGCTACACCACCCCATCATTCAGTCCCGAACAGCTCGACGTCTCTCGGTCTCACCATAGGCGGAACCGTGTCGTATTCGCGGACTAAGGGAGACTTTAAGCGGGACGGAAGGGAAGAGAACCAGGCATCCGGTTAGACGCGCTGGCTCACCGGGCTGGAGTCCAACTTGAGCCGGACACTTTCAGCTGTCCTCGTCGGGATGAGTGCTGGACTTGTTTTTAACAATATTTACCACTCTTTTTGAAGATTTTGTGTAATCTAGGAATAGCTTAGGCTCGCATAGGATTGTTTTTTGTTAGTAGTGTCTAATATAAGAAAGCTGGAGCACTAATTCAAGTTCAGATGTGATTTAAGCTATCTACTCAGCTGGCTGGGCAGATAGTTTAGGTTGTCGATTAGATACGTCGCTTAAATAGATTGGTTACATAATACTTTTGTTTTGTTACCGGTATAGTTACATTTTTGAGTTGATCCAGCTTTCTTTTTTCTCTTTGCCAAGTCTCTCATAGGGTTTGGTTGGTATGTCTATGCATATTTCTCGCAAGGAAACCTGTCGGAGTTGTTAGGTCTTGGTGCCAGTATAATAGTAGGTTCATAAA